ACGGTTTTGTTATATAAAAAAAAAAGAAAGTTGCATTACTGATTTTATAATAAAAAAAGATTTTCATACCTGCACCTCCACCAGCGATCGCAATTTTATAAAGTTCCAGTTGTTCAACAAATGGGGTTGCTTGAATTTCTTTTAAACGCGAATAAGCTGCGAAAAGTAATGCATTTACAGCACCAATTCCAATTAATGGACTAGCCATTCCTAAAAATAATGTAATTATATAAAATATATTAATTTTTACATAAACTTAACGTGAGAAAACAAATAATGACCTTTATAAAGAGCGAAAGGTCCCTCTTTTTTGACAGTTTGTAAAAAGCAATCCATTGGGCCTTTAAATCTTGTAGTCTCTATTTGGAGTCGCGTCTTTTACGAAGAGAAGCTGCATTATTAGTTTACTATAAATAAATGATATATAAGTTTGCAAAAGATCTTTACTTTTATAGTGTCCAGAGGTTGTCCAACAGCAACTTGCGCCTGACATATTCAATGAAAGTTGTTTTAACTCAAGTTCCAGCATAAAGAATTATTGACACAAAGTTCTGCTCGTCAAACCTACCATGCCAGCAAAGCTAAATAATTTCAATGTTTAAACGAAAAATTGATGTGAAGAATGGACGTAATGAAATCACCAACCTCCCAGCTACAAAATCCTCCCAGCCACTCTTCGACGATTGAATAGTAGTAATGGTGTCTGCAACATCTGTCATCGTTCTAATGGAGAAAATTAATTGATAATATAAGAACCGACTAGGAAAGATTCACGTATATATATGTCACGCGAAATGTTAATCACGTAATTTAAATTTCACGTGTGATAATCTATAACCAAAAATGGATGCAGCCAAAGAAACCTCTTTTTTTATTATAAAATCAGTAATGCAACTTTCTTTTTTTTTTATATAACAAAACCGTTGTCATATAAAAGACATTCTTTTGTGAAGAATTTGAAATAAAATAATGCATAATAGGGATAGGATTAAAGGAAAAAAAAAAAAAAAAAAAAAACTAGTTTACAAAATATTTGCGATCTGTTCTTGTTTCCCCATAAAGTATTTTAATAAACCCTCCCTTCTTGTTATGCATGAATTCAAAATATATATATTTAAGTATATAGAACAAAAACTAAATCAATTTTCTCTTATTATTTTATAACTCGATATTGTCACAGAATACAACAACAATTCCCGCGACAATTCTGATCACCATCAAGCATCGAAAGTGCTGCTCTTGACGCAGCTTCAAAAATGTTATCCACATTTTCACCGGTCAGTGCTGAACATTCAAGATACTTTTTTGCACCTATTTGGTCTGCCATCATTTCACCCTTTATACAAAATAAATGTTATGTATATTTTTTTAAAAAAAAAAATGGATATCATTTACAAGATTAAGTGAATTAAATATTTGACAATCGTAGCTAACCTCTTTTGGACTGACAAAGGAGATACCTTTTTTCTGCATTTCCGCTATTGTGGATTCATTCTCTCTTAAATCCTTTTTTAATCCCACCAAAATTATAGGAATATTTGGACAATGAGACGTAACTTCACCAATCCACTTTAAACAGAAAGTATTGTGAATATTTTTAACTAAGTATTAAAATTAATTATATTTAAACAAGAATAAGTTTCATCTATACCTTATCAGCAACATTTTCTAATGAATCTGGTAGATCAACCGAAAAAGCAATCAGAATGACGTGAGCCTTAGAATAAGAAAGAGGTCTTAAACGCTATAATAATAGATGATGAAATTAGATGAACATGTGATCGTTTTTGTTGAATGAATTTCTATAAAAAAATTACCGTAAACCCACCTCATATTCTTCTTGTCCGCTTTTAAATTTCGTAGTATAATTAATATTATGTAATATTTTATGAATATTTAAACATATGAATATAAAACTTACGCTGTATCCCATAATGCTAGCTGTACAGGTTTTCCATCAATTTTAATTTCTGTAACTCGATTATCAAATACAGTTGGAATCTATAGAATTAAATTAGACAATAAAGAAAATTATGTAAGAATGATTTCAAAATGACATCAAGTATAAAGATTACGTTACAAGTTTGTGTAATAAGTGACGATCCTCCCAGCGAAAAGCGAAAGCTTGGGTGATGAACAAAATGGCATAGGAAGATAAATTCCAGCAACATTTTAGCATCGGTACTTACGTAGTCCTAGATCAATTGAAAAAAAAAAAAGAGTTCAACATTTTAATAAATATATAAATTGATTTGTATACTATAACATATTAAGAACATACCGTTGGAAAGTAACCTAACGTAAAAACGGATAATAACGATGTTTTCCCACAAGCACCATCTCCAACAATTACTAATTTACGTCGAATAGCTTCTTTTGTTTTTCCTGTGCCGTTCGCGGACATATTGGTTTTTTTTTTTGACCGAATATATATATATAGAGAACAGAAAAATGTTAGTTCTCTTCAGAAAAAAATAATAATAATAAAAATTAATGATATTTTATGTTGAGAGAAAATGGGGGTAGGATAACGTTAACGGTGATGCCGCGGGGCACTTTAAAACCGCGCACAGATACAGTGTATGCTTTTGATTAGTTTAAATTGCTTTTTTTGATCATTCAAAATTTCTGTAACACGAGTAAATCAAGAACAATGTTTTTGCATTTATGGTTTGACACAACTATATACATGCAAAGTTATTTGGTATAGAAAATTTATAAAAAAAAATGTTTCCCATTACAGGAGTAGGCAATCCTTGGCAAGAATTGTGGAATTCCAAAGTGTTACAATTCAAAAGTATGTACGTAAAAATAATTTTTATTGCACAATAACTTTTAAAAATAGATAACGATTAACAAGTATTAGAATAACGTTTTTCTTTATTACGGTATCATTTTTTTTTTTGTATGATAGTCAAAACCAAGAAATATTAAAAGATCCTTCTTAGAATCAAAGGTATATCAACTCTAGTTAATCCTAATTCATTTTTACCTATTTTTCAATGAGCCTAACCATTTTGAAAACAATTTGTGTAAAAAAAAAAAAAATTTTTTTTTTTTATACGTAATAAGTTTCAGAAATAGTGTTGTACAAAAATTCTTTATTAATAATTAAACTAAGTTCGAATCACTAAAAATAAAAATAAACTTTAAAGTAGCTTAAATTAACGTAGTTACGTACCAATTTGACGTATTAACGATATCTCGTGATCTGTCCATCAGAATCATTTTTACTACGTACAGTACTAAGACGAGACGAACGAGTCAAATGATACAAAAATCATACGATTAATTAAACCTTTGTTTTGAAATTCTTTCAAAAGTCGACAAATACAAGACTTGTACTATATCGATATATTCTATCTAACAAAAAATAAACTTATTTCTAATTAATTACAAAGCAGGCAAAAACATTGTTTTTGACCGTTTTGACCAATTTTTATTGACACGCCCTAAAAAATCATTTTTGACCATGCAATGTTACACAATCATATTATTATAACGATAATGCATTACAATAATACGATGTACATATAAAAAAAAAAAAACTGTTATATTTTTCTTTCATAGAACCATGTGAATAATTTTCAATATTGGTATTATCATTCAAACGAATCTCGTTTGAGACTGGTTTCATAAACTCACATCGCTTTCAATCAGAGCACAAAGTCTACTGTAAAATGCCGGAGATTTCCGGTTTGTCATGACAATTTTTGACTTTTCATCTGTATATAAATATTAATAAATATTACAATATCATTATTAAAAAACTGCTACATCCGGCTGAGTTTTCTAAATTCCGGTTAAAATAAAAACTGCCGGAGAAAAAGCAGCTTCCGGCATCCGGAAATTTTGTGCCCTGCTTTCAATCAGTTCGTTTCTCTGTAAAAAAGCTCGGATTATTTACGGCTGCTTTTTTTTTTTTTTTTAACCTTTGGCGATGTCGCCATTGGCGTCTAATTTACGGCTGCTTTGATTATGTTGTATGTTGTATTAATTTGTATTGATTTTGCAGAACGGACTATCTAAAATTTATAATAAATAAATAAATAAATAAATATTATTTTTATTACGGTAATATTTTTTTAAAATTATTTTTTTTGAAATATTATCGTTATACGGTACTTGTGATTAATCAGATTAAAATTATAATAATTTTAATATAAAATTTTATCAAATAGGAGTATAGATTTTATTTAGAAATTTTAAATAAAGATATCTCGACAACCACCTGATAAAATTTGATAAAAAAATTTTTTAAATCAAAATTCATCAAGTGGTTGTCTAGATATCTTCACTCAAAGTTAAGTGAAAATTTAAAATACTTATCAAATAATAGTAAAAATTTTTGTTTAGAAATTTTAAATAAAGATATTTTGACAATCTTCTAATAAAATTTGATAAAAGTTTTTTTAAAATAAATTGTAAAAAATTGTAGAATTAAAATAAAAAAATTTTATTGAATTATATCAAATAGTTATCAAGATAACTTTACTCAAAATTAAGTAAAAATATAAAAATAATAAAAATTTTTGTTTAAAAACTTTGAATAAAAATATTTTAACAACTATTTAATGAAATTTAATAAAAAAATTTTTAAATAAATTATAAAATTGTAGAATTAATATAAAAAAATTATTAAATTTTATTAATTATTAATTCTTAAAATATTTTGTTCAAATTTTTAAACTTTTTTTTTTAATTAATTAAATTTTATTAACTTTCTCTAATATAAATATCTAGTACTTTTTATTTTACTATAATTTGTAAAGTTCTTATATATGACTTAAGTCTATAATATTATATTATATATTTTAAATTCTTAATATTGTAGTATATAACTTCTAATAGTTTTCAATTCTCTAACTCATATAATTTATAGTTATAGTATTATTTTTTATTAATATTTAATTTTTTTTATATTCTGTTACAAGTGTCGGCCTTCTTTATTCAATACAAGTAATATAAGACACGGAAGAAGGACTCTCAATGGTGTCCAAGTAGAATATTACTTCACTATGGCAGTTCGTTACAAAGTTAATGAAAGAGCAAAAATTTTTATTTAGAGAACTGTAAAGAGCTACAGAACTGATTTTACAGGAAAGGGAAAAGGGAGGGTTTATATAGCTTTTTACAATTAAGAATAAGAATAGTAAAAATGGTAAGAACAGTAAGAACAGTAAGAACAGTAAGAACGGTAAGAACAGTAAAAACAGTAAGAATAGTAAGAACGGTAAGAATGATAAGAATGGTAAAAACGGTAACTGTTTCTAAGTTATTTCTAAGACAA